TGAGATTTGTTTGATTCTTAACAGAGGTAACAGCAGTTTTCTATTAGTTACTGATAACAAATATGTAACTCAAACACAGCAACTATTCATTGGCCCCCTACCCTCACCCCAAAATGCACTCAAACAATGTTTTCACTTAATTTATTCCTTCAAAACAAGTCATACAGCACTTATGTAAAATACAACTCATAAAGTCAGTGAAACTTAATGACAATGGCAAAATCACATAAGAGTTGTACAAAATTAGACATCTCCCATGTAGCAGCAGAGTATGAACTCAGAAAGAATGGTGGCAAATAAAGACAAAAGAACAGTCTTAAAACAAGTGAACATTGTCCGTCTTCACTAAGTTTCCATGTAGTGAAAATCTGAACTTTGTTCTGTTTTAGCATTCCTTACTTTTTCCAAGTTATGTTCCCACACTCTAAAGCTGAGTCTTGAAGTTTTCTTGCTTCAGGAATCTGTTTCTACTATGATTATGAACTACAGGACTGTCAGCCTCTATATTTATATTCTTTGATAAATTACACATTAAGCTTCTGCACCTTAGCTGAATTCACATTTTTAAAGAAAACAAAAAAGTATGCTTCGCTAAGTATACATTTCCTGTAAGTTTGAGTCTTGCATGGCACCAAAGTGAACTGGAAAACTGACAATTAGGTCCCCTGGTCTTTAATGTAATTTTAAGATACAACCATCTACCATAAATCTTCCTTACTCAAAGTTTGCCTATTTACCCTACAACTAAATCATAGGATCATTTTCACTAAGTTCCTAGGTATAAGTTCTTTTTTAAAAACCCAAGTACAAAAGACACCATAGCAAAACACTTATATTCATGGTTCTATGCTTTAATAACAAGTTTTTTCACTTAAAAGCCCCACTGCATTCTCTGCAAAGACATGGGGGTGGAGACTGAGGTGACATCAAAGGCATTACATAAAATTTTTCCTGAAAATCCCAACTCATAACCACACTTTCTAAGAAGGATTTATTTACCTTCATCTCCCAACACATTGAAAGGGTTATCAAATTTCTTTAAGATATTTACGAATCAATCTCAAATTAACACACTAAATATTCATCAGTGAAAATACCCCCGCACCCCCCAACCAGATGTTTCAAAGTACTGTAAACAAAATGTCACCCAGTATTTGGATAATGAAAACCATTTTCCACAATTTGGAAAGCTTTCCATTCTTTTTAAGATGGATGAAATATATTTAAGTATTGTAACTCCCCTTTAGTTAATAAATTAGCTTATTCAAATCAGTAAACATTTCACTTTAGTCTTTTAAAAAATGTTATCATTGGTATGTTACCACTCTCAAGGCCTCCTGACTAAAAATATTGGCCCCTTTTAAAAGAAGTGTGCTTAGAAGCAAAATGAAGTGTTAAGAAACTAATCTAGTTGTTTTGTCTTTGTGCTGCAAGGACAAATCTGATGACTGCACTGTACAATAAATGACAGAGGACAATCACAATACAGGAGCATTTTGAATGCTAGCTGACAGAGCATGCTCTTAAAATTTACTTAAACGGAGTTCTACTTTATCAAAACACCAGAATGCTGTGCCACTCAACACATTGTACACTAGCAGCAACATATTAAGAGCTGACTGTTAACAGCTCCAGAATTTTAATGTCCATTAGGAGATCCCCAGAGTGGACAAGCATGTAAACTTTTATTCCATACTTTTTAAAGTGCTGCAAATAATAACAAACGTGTGTCTCGAAAGAGGGAAAGCACATGATTCTTAATTATATATGCAAGTTTAGGAAGGCCACCTGATTCATCAAGAAAAAAACCTATCATTTTGTTGCTTAATATTGCATATTCCTCATGCACAGTTTTTCCAAAAAAGACTTAAAATTAAAACTGGCAACTAGCTATAGTCATGTTTTAATCTTTACACAGGATAGAAGGTACAAGCTAGATAAGCAAGTTAGGGATGGACACTTAGGGGCACATATGAAGAGATAGTGTAATGTTATTACACTCTTATGATTTAGCTGGAACTTGAACTTCATGGAATAAACAAGTGGAACAAACTACATTAGTTCTGACCAATAAGGTAAAGCTCACCAGCACCAAGTTTTCAAGGCTACCATCATTTGAGTACGCCCATTTCTCACTCACAGAAATTAAGAAAGCAACCACTAATAGCAAGAGAAAATGTCACATTCTGTGGGTACAACATAAACACAGCTGTTTACATAGCACTTGCAGCTACTCTTGCAATCCATACAGGAGCAAAGAAAAGGAGGAAGGTGTATTAATAAGCACAGTCTTTATGCGTTGTCACTGCCTCATTTTAATGAAAAGAATATTTTTGTATGTCAGTCAAAAGTTAAATAAAAGCCTGATTCTGTTTGAGTGCAAATTTGAGAGTTTCTTTCAATCCTGCTGTAATTACTAAATCTATAGATTTTTTTCCCCCAAAAGATTAGCATCTATTCACATTAACAAGAAATTTCAGGAAAATTTAGTAAGTGTAGTAAAAAAAAAAAATCTTTATGCAAGGTATAGTGAGTTTGGAGTAAGTAGAAGTTTTTAATGCTCAGTAATAAAATCAATTGGTCTAAACAAAATGCTTCATTTTGAATATCCCATGATGAGAATGCCAAAGTACTTACTAATGCTGTATTTCAACAGATGATTAATAAATAAAATCATTATCGTCATTATTGACAGCAATCGGAGTAATCAGTGTCCAATTTGTGAATGAACAATAAGAAGTAAACACAAGGTCCCTTAAATAAATATTTGACACTTGCTATAAGTATTAAGCTTAAATATGTAAACAAAAACACTTAATGAGTTTAATTATGTAGAACATCAGTATCCTATCTCTTCCCATTTGTTAAATTAAACCACTCTAGACAAAATACGGATTCCATTTTAAAATGACAAAAATGGATGTTAGGGAACAATTGTAATACATGCCTGGCACATTATAAATTAATCAATAAATATTTGTTGTGAGTAAAATTCTAGATCTAAAATTTCAGTAAGCAAACGTCACCTTTGGCTCTTGAAATACTAAAGAAGGAAGGCAAGTTTCAGGAATAATTTTGGATGAAGCTCACTTTGATGGATGTTAAACACTCTCAAAAATAAAAAAGAGCTATGGTGGCCTGGTAAGGAACTGCACCGCCAGCCCAAAGGCAGGTAGTTTGAATCCATCAGCTGCCCAACAGAAGATGGGTAATCAACTCCAATATGATTTATGTCAACCAGTGATACATACTTAACTTACAATTGTACTTTTTCTAAAATAAATAAAAATACAAAATTTATCTAAGCCAGATGACAGATTTCCAGTCACAGTTATTTGTACATATATGATTGCCAAACATTAAGTTTTGTTAAGCTTGCAAGTTGTTTTTAAGGCTCAATAAAGTTGAAAATTAAATACTTAAGTTATAGTGACCATAATTATTCATAAATACCTAAAGCAGCTATACACAAAGGTACTCAAATGTCATCAAGTGATTTCAAGAATACTTTGTGAATTTTCTTACACAGTTCTTAATTTTACAAAGCCACTTTCACTAAGTGAAAGGGCTAAATTTTAAATCTAAAACATATGCCAAGAAGATAGGCTGAATGAGATTAAGTGCTTTAAAGTACACCACTAAGTTCTTAAGTGAAATATTTCACCAAAAAGGAGACCATACTAAAAAAATTTCACAACATTAGGCCTCTTCACATTATATGAAAAATGCCTAACAACTCTAAATTTAGCATCCCTGATCTTCTGAAGAATTATGAAAAGAGGTAGAAAACTTTATCTGGAAGAGCTCATAGTGTAGCTAAATTTTAGAAGGTGTGCCTTGTGGATCAGCACACCAAACAAATGGCTACACATCTAATGACCAGGAAGAAGCAGAATTCTGAGAAAGCAGAATAAGGCAAGGATTTAAAGACTTTCATATTTTGGAAGTAAAACGAACTCATTCAAATTATCACCCCAATTGCTTTAAACTTTTCAAGACTAAGATCTCTCATAAGCAAAGTGCTAGTTTGAGGAAATGTGAAATTACGCAAGAGGGATATGCAGTGAAGGGGACAGGGCTAATATGAAAACAAATACTGCTGCAGTAAGCAAAATAGTTTAAGAAAGCATAGCATTATTACTCTAGATAAACATTTTTCAGGAGTTAAAGCATTCTTTAACTGCAAAGAAAGGAAATCTTTAATCTTTATGCAAAGTAAAAACAGAGCACTCAAAATTAAAAAAATACCTTAATTTAAAAATTGTATCCAATGTAACAAAGACCAATAAATGAATGGCATTAAAACATGAGGCCAATGGACCATTAAAGCTTCAGTCAGCTGCTTCAGGCACCTTTTCTCGCATACATTCCACTTTTATACACTAGAAATCTTAAACAGGGAACAGTCAGTTCCTGTTTGCAGGCATCATTCCCAAGGAATGGACCTTTCCCTGTAAAATCTGCTTGATATGTACTCAAAACATGGAAAGTACACATGTGTAAGGTCTACTAAATTGCAATATAAAACTAGTTTTGACAACTTTGAGTATCTTCATTGGAGGAATCAATTAATAATTTAGAAACTATTAACTCCATTATTAAAATGACTCAATTACTGGAGACACTGTGGTAGATGTCCAGTGGCCTCACCTGAGGCCTTCTTCATTACCAAACATATGGCACTGTTTCTTCTAAGGTTAATGCTGTTGGACGCTAGTTTATAATACTAAAACTCAATCTTCAAGTGTCAGAGGGTGGCAAGCACCACCGAGTCTGTCTCCCCAGCACAAAGAGGCTACCACCACTGTAGACACACATCTGTAAACTTGCACACTAATTTTAATCTTAACAAGGAATTTCAGTGCCTTAGTGGTCTTAAGTGAACAGGGTGGTTCAAGCATTCTGTCTTTTTGTTCCTTAGGGTTTCAAATAGCTTATTGGAACACCCAGAGCCTTCTGGATCTGTGAGGTAGTAGGCTTCAACCCTCATCATGTATAGATCACACTTCTCCAAAGTTGGTATGGCCTGTCTCCTTGGCATGTTCCCTTGCTTCTGCTTGGCCAGTTAATCCCTTCTGACATACCATGCATCTCAGGGTGAAGCGGTTGACATCAGTAAATTGTCTCTTTTTTCTGGCTTCATCTGCCAACTCCAGTGCTTGTACAAGAACAATATCATCATTGGAAGAGAAAATGGTCAGAGGTGGGGTATCTGGGTCAGGGAAGTTGCGCTGAAGTGGATCGTAGTGGATGCCATCATAAATAAGGAGGACCCTTTTGGTATACCCTGCATCTTCCCCAAAACGATCAATTCGCACGGTCTGTGTATCAACCACACAGATTTCACACTGGTAAAACTTGGACAAGATGGATATCTCAATAGCTCCTCCCCACGTGTCATCTCTTCGGATCCAGTCACAGTACTCTTGATTGGTCTTCCCCAGGATTGCCTCGCTATAGAACTCTGGATCACTGGCTACAATTTGTGCTATGAAGCGTCTCATCTCAGGGGCACAGGCTGGATTCAAGACGCCCCCTTCCACAACGTAGTATACACTGGTAAAGAGGCAAGAGTTGTCTGCAGGAACTGAAGTCCTGGTGAGCACAGGCAAAGCGTCCCTGTAGTAACTAGGAGCACCAGGTTTTACAGACACAGGGGAAGCTTTCAGCCTGGTTTGGTCTTCTTCAACAATCAGCAAGTCGCCTGTTAAAAAAAGAAAAGAAATCCAAAACTGAGGAGAAAATAGAGATGAACAGGGAGGGAGGATAAACTTACACCTTTCCAAGTTGCCAGTAACACTTTTTGTTCACTGATAAAAGTTAGCTAACACGAAAATAAAGAACAAAACACCGATACGATGAAGGGGGTTGGCCTACACACACACACACACACACACGCTTTTGTCTGTTTTGAATAATTTTTTTTGTTTTTTTAAAAAACTAGTTTAATGTCAGATAAGGGACTTATATCTGGAATTTATAAAATACTTGAACACCACAACAAGATAAAGGTAAATAATCCAATAGAAAAATGGGCACAGGATATGAACAGACACTTCACTGAAGAAGACATTAAGATGGCCAGCCAACAAGCACATGAAGAAATGTTCAAAGTCCCTAGCTCTAAGAGAGATGCAAATCAAAACAACTATGAGATATCATTTCACCCCAGTAAGAATAGCAAAACATAACAGAACAGCAAGCAACAAATGCTGGCGAGGATGTGGAGAAACTGGAACTCTTATTCACTGTTGGTGGGAATGTAAGATGGTGCAACCATTGTGGAAGGCGGTGTGGAGCTTTCTCAAAAAATTGCAAATAGACCATTTGACCCAACAATCCCATTACTGGGAATATACCCCAGAGAGATCATGTCTGCCATCCAAGCAGATATATGCACACCCATGTTTATTGCAGCTTTGTTTACAATAGCAAAGAGCTGGAAGCAGCCTAAGGGCCCATCAACAAACGAATGGATAGAGAAGCTGTGGTATATCCACACAATGGAATACTACGCAGCATTGAAAAACAAGGAACTCATGCAATATTATTCAAAGTGGGTGACCCTGGAGGATATTACGCTGAGTGAAATATCTCAGTCACAAAGGGACAAATACTGCATGGTGCCACTGTTGTAGAATGGGTCTGACATCAGGGTGGGGGTATGACAGAAAAAACTGGATAAATTATGTATATTGTATTGAAACAGATGAGGGAAAGAACAGATTAGAAGTGATATATGACTGAGTATTATGGTTAGCACAGGAATCCAGAATTAAGGTTGTATAGAGAAGTGTACTCGGGGTGGGGGGAAGGGACGTGGGAATTGTATACTAATGAAGGAATTTTTTTCTTTTTTTCCTCTCTTCGGAGGGGGAAGCGAGCTGGTGGGGAGGGGTGGGAAGGGAGAAAATTGCAGCAATGAATGAATGGAAATCCAAAACCTCTGTAAAAAAAAAAATTTAAAAAACAACCAAAAAAACCCAAAAACTAGTTTATTTACAAACTTCGAATACATTGTTTTCCAAACCAGATTCTTCCAATTTCTTTCTCTTTTCTACTCATCAAATTGTACAACTCCATGATTAATCCTCCCACTCCCTGCACATCTGCTTTTAAAAGATACATTTCATAACCAAACTTGCCTTTTATTTACGCTCTGGTTACAAACCTTCCAGAAAGTGTAATGCACAGCCCGCGCCGCTAGGGGGCGCTCCTCCTCTTGAAAACCCATCCATTCTGGTGTTTTTACCAGAGTCCTTGATGCAAAAGCGCAAAGCTTTTACTCCCCAAGTTCAGGTGTGAATACTCGTTTGAACTTGGAAGAAACTAGGCGGGCATTTAAAAGCTAATCTTAAACACATCAAACTATAGAACGAGGTATAGATGAAGGTGATTGTAAAAACAAAGCAAGCCAGCCAAGTGTCCCGGACCTTTCTGACCTGCTAATAACAACAGGAAAGGGTCATTGTGCATGGTCTAGACAGAGTAACCTGGTCTCACTCCTAATGCACATCTTTGTAAATGAGGAAAAGAAAAGAAACACTGTATTAGACATTTTCAAGGTAGAAAAGGAAGGAGAAAGGAGAGGGCTCAAAGGCTTCGGGATTCTCACAAGCGCTGGCCTCTCCTAGCCATTTACAATTATTGCTGAAGACAAAGAGCTGTTAGACTTAACTCTGGCCTCTGCTGGAGTTCTCAGTTCTTTGCTCTCATTCTTACCCATCCATGGCCTCGGCTGACCCCCTAGCCTCTTGCCGTCACTGGTCACTGGTTCTCTCGCCACCCTGCGGAATCGCTCCGTCTTCCCAGATTTCCCCAGACCCTGATCTCCTTACCTGACTGGATTGGCAAGTCCTCTAGAATGGTGTCCCCGTTGCTGAGATCCAGACACTCTGGAGGGTATCCGACCAGGATTCGCTGACCACCGGGGGCGATCCCGGTGATGGCGGCAATTTGACCCTGGAGTTCTCGCACCCGGGTCCGGTTGGACAAGCCCTGCAAAACATGGGTGCCATCCTTGGCCTTGCAGCGGAGCCGCCACATTGTGTCAATGTGGCCGGCCACAGGCCTGGCACCGGCGGGGCCAGCTTTGGTCCCGGCAGCAAGTTGGGAAAAGCCGCCGGGGTAACCAGCCTCCGGGTGGACTCCAAAATGGCCACCCTTCGCTGGGCCAAACATCGCGAGAATTTGTTGCTGATGACAGTTCTCGCGACACTTAAAAGCGGGGTCTGCTTTAGCGCTTTAATAAGGTTGAAGTTCTTAAAGTGACAACCAACTCCCTCCCGTCTTTTCTGCGCTTGGCTGAGCCAAAGAGTGGAGATGAGTCCTTATTTCTAACGTGCAGCTGGTACCTGTAGTGCGAGTGAAATGCCCTTCGCGTCTGCATAATATATGCTCAAGGAAAGAGGGCGGAGGAAGGAGTTCCTGAATCTAACACATCGGAATGTGACTTTGCACTTAGTGAGGTCGGAAATTTTTAAATTGGGGCTTGCAAATTACACCAAGGGAAGCAGTCATAGGTCCGATCGCAAAGGAATGCTAAGAATGACCAGTGAGTCAAAGGGCCTGTCAAAACAAAACAAATACTCGTGACTAGACTCGTGGCTGCACCAAACATTGACTCATTGAGGTTGAGGGCCTTTCTACTTCCCTGGGACTTTGAATGGGTTGATTTATCATGTCAGGAAGTACCCCAAGAGGTCAGCATCTGGGCGATGGGCAATTAACTACATTCAGGTGTTGGAAGTATTAGGATAAGGAAAGAAGAGGGACTAACATCTGTCACTTAGACTTACATTTAGATCTTGGATGTACTAATATGAAGAAGACCCTATCTTTTTGGCTCAAGATATTGTACATAAGGTCGCTGTGAGTCACAAGCTACTAGATGGCACATAACACCACATCTTTTTGAAGTCGGTAGAGCACTTGGCAGGGACACACAGCCATTTGAATTTCAGAACACCTAAGAATGGTAGCACTTAATCTTGTGATAGAATTTATTGAAATCTATGTCCTTAAAGTCTTAGGACTTTACCTAGCAAATCCAGTGCTCAATAAATACATGCTGAACGGCTTATACAGGCACAGAGAAGGGGTCATAGATTGTAAAAAAAGATTCAAAGGGAACATAATATTTGGGCAGTTTTAGAGGCTGGCTTAAAGAAGGAATAAAACAATTTTGGAATATTCGCTTTCTTCGAGAAATCAACATTCACTGTTCTCCCCCCCCCCCCAATCGAGAGCACCATCTCACCCTGTTTAGCGTGCGTTTATTAATAAAATAAAGCATCCCACAGACCTGGGGGAATTACGCACAGTGTTATCCACGTGACATTTGCAAACTCCTCTGTAAAAGTTTCCTCCGCTGAATAAGTTATATGAAACGTTTGCATATTTCACGTTTCATGACACAGTTTCTTTATAAACACTTTCCCTCTTTAGTTCGTCAAGCTAAGCACAACAGATGACAAAGCCTGTATGGGAGAAGGGGTTAAAACACCTTGGAGTATACAGCTTGATTCAGGGATGCTCCGGCTTTAACAAGGCGAGTAATTAATTGATGTTGTTAGGCTGCGCTGCAATCCCAAAGACACGTAGTTCGAATCCACTAGCTGTTCCACGGGAAAAGGATGGGCAATCTCTTCCCATGCCATTTAACTGTCTCTGAAAACCCGCTGGAGGGTCAGCTAGGGGTCGGTTCCAACCGTATGGTACTTGACGACTTAGGATACAGTATCTGAAAAATGAGACAGATTTGAAAAATCTCTTAAAGTGTATCCCTTCTAAGTTTATATTCCCATATACTGGTCTAAGGAGGTCTCCCTGGGATTCAGGAATGAAAGTGTTAATCTTTTCAACATTCTCCGTCACCCAAAGGTCACACCTCTGAAGACATCTTTATAGTCCATTCTCGCGAGAGTTAAAAAAAAACACAAAACACCCCACAACACTTTTTATTAACTCCGCCCCCAGCCGTGTTAGTTGCCAGGCAACGATGCAACCAACCTCGACAATAGTAGTTGGGCTGGGAATCTGCATCCTTCCATTCTCCTTTAGGCACCGGCGTCAAGGATTCAGCTTTGAGCCACGCCCCCTGGCGCCTGCTGGTTCACGATTGGTCGAAGAGGCTTTCCAGGTGAGGACCTAAGCGCGAGTGGGCGGAGCGAGGCAGGAGCATGTGATATGCCCGGGGTTCCTTTGCCGGGCGCTGGGCCAGTCTGTCTGCTCAGGTTTGTGGCGTTACCCAGTGAAGCACCAGGGCTGCTGCCGGGAGGGAGCTTTGGAAGGATCACCGGGTGAGAGGCAGCTGCGCAGCGCCTGCAAGGAGGTGGAAGGGTGGGATAAGATCTGGACCGTCGGTGTCTTTGCGGTTTGTGGAAGTTCTGGCCCCAGGGCATTGCTGGGAGTGCTCACGGTCACGGACACAGAGCTGTAACTGGTGTTTGGATTGCAGATTTGCGTGGTGATTGTAGGAACAGAGCAAGTCTTTGAAGCAATAGGACCTTCTCCCCTCGTGAGCGCCTTTGTTTTGGGTTCTGGGAAGTGAGGCTTCTGTCTTGGACAAACTGGAGTGTGTCTCGCCTCAATTCGAGTCTGCATTTACCCCTTATGTGCACGTAACCTTGGGGAAGTAATTTACCACTCTCTGCGCCCCAGTGATCTTTTTTTTAAAATATAGTACATCTCAAGGGAATAGATGTGGACAGGGTACGGAGCAGGGTTTGAGAGTGAGTGTACCACAGTAGAAATGGTGATGTGCTAGGACTCTCAGCTTCTGGTCGTAGTTTTTCCTGAAGGGAACAAATTCGAGTTCCCCTTCCCCTCTCCCACTTGTCTCGTTTAATTATTTTTTTTTTCAAGGCAGAGTCCTAATAATTGGATGGAAATTATCTTTTTTATAATGAAATAGATCAATGATTCCCTTGCTTCTGCTATTGTATCAGATTATTAAAACTCTGCAATCTGGAGTCATAAAGGACTATGGATACGTAACTTAATGACAATTAACCTTAGTTTTACAATCTGTAACGTGGGAAAGATCCGGTGAGGATCTGAAGAGATGGGATAGTAATGGGCATAGATCAATGGTGATTAATTTTATAAGACACGATGAATGGGAATGATTGTATGAAGCACAATGTGAATGTTAAAAAAAAGAAAAAAACATGGGCAGATTGTCATAATGGTAGCAGAATCTCTTCTAGCATTGTTGGCAGGATTAAAGAAGATTATTTATATGAAAGTACACTGAGTAGGTGTGTTAAGTGCAAATGTCTAGAGCACTCTAATTGAGGAAGGATGGGGCTTGAGAAGTTCATGACTTAAAGACACAGAGAGATTAAATGGGAGAAAGAAGTCTAACTTGACTTTCAAAAGGATCCTTCATACAGTGAAGCTTGTGCAAACTGGAACCTATCAGAGAAAGAATAAGAGGGAAACCTGTCAGAGAAGGAAAAGTACATTTCTACTAAAATGAGTGATAGAAAAGTAATAAGTCTATCATCCCCTGTCAAACGTAGGCAACTTTTGAAACCATAAAGACAGAGCGGGGCAGTTTATGCTCTCACAGGTTTCACTGTAGGACACTGTACAGTGTGCCTCCTCTTTGCAGTGTTTTGAGGGCTGTCCCTTTCTTGTCTCCCTTACATCCCTCTTGTCCCTTCCAGAGGTCCCCTGAGGAGCTACCATGTCTGTGGAGTTTGCATCTTCCTCAGAACCGAACAGCAGCCATGAAACCAAGACCCCAAATCTCCGAACAGCTGAGAAGAAATGTTGTGAGTTCTGGAAAAGTTGAGGGGCCTCTCCTTCCCAGGGTTTTATTTTGGGAATATCGTACAGCTGTAATTCTGGACTATGCGGCTTAGTAGAAATGAGAGAGACTTTGACATGGGAATTAGAACAGCCTCCAGGGAGAGATTTCCTGTCTGTAGGTCAGCAGTTTCTTACTGATTTGTTTTCCCCTGCATCCCCATCACCAGGATGTTAGCACACTTGTTTGCTGTTGGAAATGAAGGCGAGCATTAGTGAGCACACAGTGATTATGTCAGACTGTCTCACTGACAGACCCCTTGCCATCAAGTCTGTTCTGACTCATAGTGACCCTATAACGCAGAACAGAATTGTCCTCTAGGGTTTCCAAGATTGTAATCTTTACAGAAGTAGTCTGCCCATCTTTCTCCCACAGAGAAACTGGTGCATTTGATTTGTTGCCCTCTGATTTAGCAATCTAGGTAACAGTAGTTCACTAGAGTTTGTTAAGGCAGAGGTAACCTGAAGAAGATTGGCAGTTCTCACTCATGCAGGGGGTTCTGTGGAAGAAAGGCAGTAAAGATTTCAGCCAAGATGGCCCTGTGGAACAATCTACTCTGTCAAAACTGGCTCATTGCCATTTGGTTTGTGTTTTGGCTACTGCTATCAGTTTTCCTTATCTTTTGGGTTAAATTTAGGGAGAGGACTGCAGTAGTTACAGAGAGGAGCCAGTGTTTCTTGCCTGCCCTCTTCCCTGCAGGTTTCAGGGCAATCAGGTCTGACATTTGACTTCCCCACATACCGTAGGTGTGTTTCTTTCTCACAGCTTCAGCTTCTTGACAAACTATTATGATTGTTATTCCTGTAGCTTCTTTTCTATGGAAACAGATTTCAGGTGAACATTTTCTTGCTGATCTTTTAGACAACATGAGACTTTTTTAAGGAGAAGAAGCAATGTTTCTTATGCTCCCTACAATTTGCATCCTGAGCATGATACAGACTGCTTAGTCCAGGCCGAAAAGGTTCTGGGAAGCTGGTACCCGGATAGTTCTGGGAGCCTTAAGGAATGCTAACCCTTGCTCGGGTGCTTCCAGATTGTGCCTGTCCCTCTTTAGAGCATGTCGTCAGCCAGTTCTCACTTTAGCAGTTATCTGTATCAGCAGGTGGAAGCAGCCGACCTGCATGAGACTGAGAAGCATGTTGTGCTCAAAAGCCTTCCTTAGAACCTCCTTAGTGCCACACACCTTGTCGGTCTCATGGTTAATGATGTTGATTTCCCCTCACCTTGCACCAGGGTGGCTTACTGGAGTTTGAACTGCAGTAGAGCCAGCTGGGTTGCATGTGATACTGAGACACCTCTATGATTAGTGTCTGCTTTTTTTGCCAGGGCAAGATGCCAGGTCCCAAGGGAAAAATATCCTGTGAAA